AATCCATATCTTTCTACTAGATATAATTGTCATATCAATGTAGAAATTTGTTCGTCTATTACTGCTGTAAAATATCTTTTTAAGTATATATATAAAGGACACGACTGGGCTACTATAAAAATTACAATCCAAAATATTTAACATCTGCAGTCTACTGATAATGATGAAATAAGTCTCTATCTTGATGCTCGCTACATTTCAGCATCAGAAGCTTCATAGTGATTATTCCATTACCATTTACATGATAGAAATCCTGCTTTTATGCCCCTTCAAGTTCACCTTCCAGGACAACATAGAGTAACATTTCGAGATAATGAAGTTATACAAAATGTGATTGAACATGCTAATTCAGAGAAAACTACACTCACAGCTTGGTTTCATGCTAATAATTCTTATTCTGAAGCCAGAACACTAACATATGGAAATTTTCCGACTCACTGGGTTCTTGAAAAAAAAACCAATAAATAGAAACCAAGGCAACGTGACAATGTTATTGGCCATATGTACTTTGTTCACCCTTCAGCTGATGAACATTACTACTTAAGACTTTTGCTTAATGTAGTTTGTGGCATGACTTCTTTCGAACATCTTCGCACTGTAAATCGAATCCAATATAGTACTTTCAAAGAAGCTTGCTTTGTGTTATCTTTACTACAGAATAATGATGAATGAGATTTCTGTTTATTAAAAGCAGCTCAGATACAGTTCGGCACTCAATTATGTACTTGGTTGTTACTATTCTACTATTCTGCAATCCTGTACATCTGGAGAACCTTTGGAAGAAACATTTTTCAGCTCTTACTGATGATCTTCATTTTCATGCTCATAATACTACTACTACTACACTTACAGATACTAATATTCTTAACCAAGCCTTATTACATTTACAATCTATCTTAAATAAGCATGGAAGATGTCTTACTGATTTTCCTAAAATGCCATTACCAACTATCCTTCCCAACTCAGAACACCATAATAATCTAATTACTGAAGAACTAAATTATAATATTGCCGACCTTACGCAGATCGTCGAAAATGGAGTCCCTTGCTTAAATACTGATCAACGATTCATTTTTGAAAAAATTATAACTGCCCTTGAAAATCAAAGTTCTTCTATATTTTTTGTTGATGAACCAGGCAGAACCGGAAAAACTTTTTTATACAAGTAATTATTTAACTTATAGCCTTTTTTATTTTATTCTGATATTTTTTCTTACCTCTTTTTTAGTATTTTACTTGCGAAAATTTGCTTAAATAAGCAAATTGCTCTTGCTGTCACTTTATTCAAGATTGCTGCTCTTCTTTTATCAGGTGGTAGAACTGCTCATTCAAGATTCAAGATCCCTATTAATTTAAATGAAGATTCTATCTGTTCAATTTCTCACGGCACTGATCTAGCTTTACTTCTTCAAAAAATGCAACTTATCATATGAGATAAAGCTCCAATGATGCATAGATATGCATTTGAAGCCATAGATCGTATTTTAAAAGATCTCATGAAAGCTATTGACCCAGCTTTAGAGAAAAAACCATTCGAAGGTAAAATTATAATATTAGGTGGAGATTTTTGCCAAATTCTTTCTGTTGTTGTAAAAGGTGATAGAGAAGAAATTGTAGCATCATGTTTACGACGATTAACTCTGTGGCAACATGTTCAGCTTATGAAGCTAAAAATTAATATACACCTTAATCATACTACTAATACATTTAATTTTACTGAGCTTGCTGATTTTGCTAATTGGCTTCTTAAACTTAGTGAAGGATGCATTCCTACTATTACATCAGAAGAACCTACTATATGACTTCCTAATGATATTGTATTATCTACTCCTGACTTGAATAACTTGATCCGATTTGTATATCCTAAATTTTCCATTAATTCTACTTCCTAACAACTGGTTGACTATGCTTTGCTTACACCAAAAAATGACGATGTCGATATAATTAATAATATTATTATAAATAACTTTCCCGGTGAAAATCGTGAATATCTTAGTGCTGACATCATAGAAAAACAAACTGAAGCTAAAAATTTGTATCCTGTTGAATTTCTTCATACTTTGTCTATTGGAGGCTTGCCTCCTTATAAACTTATTTTAAAACCTAGTACTTCAATTATATTATTACATAATATTCATCCTTCTGATAGTCTCTGTAACAGGACTAGGTTAATTTGTAGGTCATTTCACAAACATGTTATCAAAGCAGAAATTATTAATGGAAACCATTCTGGAAGTAGAATATTTATTCCTCGCATTACAATGTCACCTTCTAACACTGCTCTCCCTTTTAGTTTCAACCGTTATCAATTTCCAGTAAAACTAGCTTTCGCTATGACAATTAATAAAGCTCAAGGTCAAACTTTACAATACATAGGCTTATATCTTCCTGCTTCAGTATTTTCTCATGGCCAACTCTATGTTGCATGTTCAAGAGTTACTTCGCCAGCCAATATAAAAATTCTTATATACAAAAATCACGAAAAACATAGTCTCATATCAAATATTGTTTATTCTGAAGTATTTCATTAAACTAATTTCCAAAGCACATTCTTATTATTTAATTGCATTATCCTGCTTTTTATTTCCTCCATTCTTTTTTTAATTATTAGATACATTTTAAAAATTTTTACATATTTGTTAATCACTCTAACTTTATATATAGAAAAATACTTATACCTT